ACTCAGCATACATGTGGCCTGGTGCTTCAAAGAGGTGGCTTTTTGCTTTTCAAAAAATAGTCTTTGTTTTCCTTATCCAGGAGACTATCCCCAGGCCATGAAGCACTACACAGAAGCAATTAAACGGAACCCACGAGATGCCAAGCTGTACAGTAATCGAGCTGCCTGCTATACCAAACTGCTGGAATTCCAGCTGGCGCTCAAGGTGAGGAGCTCAGATGGGTGGGGCAGGGTGTGTCCCTCCCATCCCTTTTTGTTTTGTTTTGCTTTCATTTGAAGGTTGATCTTTCTTTGTTCCAGATTAGATTCACAGAGGCAGTACTTGTGTTCTTGTGAGTTTTTTTGTTTTTTGGTTTTTTTGTTTTGTTTTGTTTTGGTACTGGGGTTCGAACTCAGGACCTTGCGCTTGTGAGGCAGGGGGCGGCACCACTGAGCTAAATCCCTGGCTTGTGTGTATTAAAATACAGGGCCTCTGCATATCTGGTCTGCCTTGTGGGGTTAGAGGTTGAAAGTACTTGGGAAAGTGGATGCTTATTTTTATTTCGAGGCTGTGTCTTGCCAAGCTGTATGGGTTGACTCCAACCTTAGCAGTCTCCTACCTCAGCCTCCCAGAGCACTGCTTTTTAACCATTTTATGCGCACACTTGGTGGCCTTAAGTATATTCACATCATTAGGAAATAACTACAGGACTTTTTCATCTTCCTACACTGAAATGTCCTCTGTTGACCACTGTTTCTGTTCTGAGTCTGAATACTGCAGGTACCTCAAGCATGGCCACGGCAATGTTTGTCCTTTGGGAACTGACCTGCTTGACTTTATGTAATGTCTTCAAGGTCCATGTAGGTCCCGGCCTTTGTCGGTTTCTTTCTTAAAGCCAAACAATATTCTATTCTATTCTATTTGCACGCCATGCTTTGTTGGTACATATGTTGGTTTGTTGCCACCTTTTGGGTATTGTGAATAATGCTGCTAAGAGCATGGATGTACAAATACCTATTAATGTCCCTACTTTAAATTTTTTGGAGAACATACGCAAAAGTAGAATTGCTAGATCAGAAGGTATTTATAGTTTGTAGAACCATATTAGAATGACTACACTATGTTTCCTTTTTTTCTTTCCTCACTTTTTGCTGTTTAGTTTAATAGTTCAATTGTAGGTAGGTCTGCTAGTCTGTCATGTACAATATAGTCAAGTGTGACTGTGACCCTGGAGATGTAGTACCCATTTATGAATATGATCCACTCCTGCACCTCTCTGTGATGTGTTTGCTGTTATCTAGCAGAACAGCCTGGACTGGACTGTACTGTGAGATGGTCTTGGCAAAATCTGATGTAGTTAGAGATACTAAGTCCTGGGCCCAATGCTGGTATTTGTGTTTTTGTTGTCCCCCCCAGCCCCGAACTCAGGATGTTGTGCTTGCAAGGCAGGCCTGGTGCCACTGAGCCAAATCCCTGGGCCTAGGACCTCGAACTGTCGAGGCAGGTGGGAGCACCACTAAGCGAAATCCCAGGCCCATGTTTTTGATTCCTTGAGACAGGGTCTTGCTTTTGTTCAATCTGGCTTTGAACTCATTATTTAGCTGTGGCTGTCATGTTCTCTTTCTCTCAGAACTAGAAGTGTCACCACCTTTTCTGTATTTGTCATAACATCAGGCTTTTGAAGAGTCAGGCTGTTGTATTTCATGGGATGGTGATCTGTCTAGAGTTGTCTTTCCTGGGGCCGAAACCCGGCTTTCTACTCTGTTGTCCTGCTTAACCCAGGGCCAGCACTGGTAGGAGCAGCAGAGGCAGAAGCTAAAGCCTCTGGCACATCCGACAGCATGACTGAACGGTTTGACTGAGTCCCTGTAAGGGAGGACCCTAATTTCCTAACTGCTGCTTCTTCCTAGGACTGTGAAGAATGTATCCAGCTGGAGCCGACCTTCAGTAAGTGCCTTTCCCTGCCTCTCCCTGTCCCCTACTCTGCCAAAAGATTGAGAGAAGGAAAGGGCAGGGACCATGGCCTGTTGCATCTAGATCAGCAGGCACAGAGCTGGGGGAGCTGTGTTTCAGATGGTGCCTTCACCTCCTATTTGTCCGTAGTCAAGGGTTACACCCGGAAAGCAGCTGCCCTGGAAGCCATGAAGGACTACACAAAGGCTATGGATGTGTATCAGAAGGCACTGGACCTGGACTCCGGCTGTAAGGTGTGCTCTGCTGGCCTTCATGGGCCCACTCAGGCCTGTTTCGCTCTCAAGTCTTCCCTCTCCCTGCAGTTCCAGTCGCCCTCCCTGGCTGTTACCATGAACTTGCTAGAGAATTGAGCCAGATCATGCTGACCCTCTCTCCCTTTTGAATACAGGAGGCTGCAGATGGTTACCAGCGCTGTATGATGGCTCAGTACAACAGACACGACAACCCCGAGGATGTGAAGCGGCGAGCCATGGCTGACCCTGAGGTGCAGCAGATAATGAGTGACCCAGCCATGCGGCTCATCCTGGAGCAGATGCAGAAGGACCCCCAGGCGCTCAGCGAGTAAGCCAAGTTCAGGATGGCCTTGCAGATGATTACCTAGGCAGGATTGTGCAATCTTTCTTAAAACTGGAAGGATTGAGCCAAATGTGGTAGCACATACCTATGATCCCAATATTTTGGGAGGCTGAGGCAGGGAGATCACAAGTTCAAACCCAGCCTGAGCAGTTTAGTGACTTCTTAGCAGAACCCTGTTTCTAAAAAAAGAGTTGGGGAGCTGGACATGGAGGCACATACCTGTAATTCTAGCACTCGGGAGGTTGAGGCAAGAGGTCAGCCTGAACTACGTGAGACCTTGTCTCAAAAAAAAGTAGAGAGGGGCTGGGGATACAACTTGGTGCAAAGGCCCCTGGTTCAATCCCCAGTACTGTGTGGGGAGGTACATTGTGGACGGGTTTTCTTTACTTGTTAGTCCTGACAGCTTATGCGGTCAGCTGGAAAGGCCAGGTTTGTTACAGAAAAGTGACTCGTGGCTTTCTAGGCACACAGTAGGCCTGGCAGGTTCTGCACAGTAGCGAAGGCCTTTGCATGGCCCCCTTCATCAGGCCTCTTTCTGTAGGTACCCTGACTGTGGCTGCTTGGGGTTCGGGGCTGGAGCTTATTCTAGAAGCAAGGAAGCCATCTCTGAGGGCAAGTTTCCCTCAGTTCATTTCACCTGTCTTTTTTAGACACTTAAAGAACCCTGTAATAGCGCAGAAGATCCAGAAGCTGATGGATGTGGGTCTGATCGCAATTCGGTGATGACTCATCTCTTCCCTTTGCCCTCGTGTGGAAAGACGCTGGGATGGCGGCTAGCAGTGCAGCAGAGGGAGGGGAGAAAGAGCAGCTCATCTTTATATTTATACGTGCCACCTGGAAGACACAGACTTACACAGCCGCCGCCGCCCAGCACTCGCATGGTCTCCACTGCTGCCCTCGAGTTTCGTGTCTCCTTCCCCCATGCCCCAGTCGCCGTGTCGGCTGCTCCCCCATAGTTGGTTATTTTTTATTTGGGGCAGTGGGCAATATGAGGGGGGTGTTCTTCCCAACCTGGGGTCCCAGCTGTCTTCATATTGTTATCTCCACGTCCCCGTCTCCAATAAAATAAGCCAGGTGGACGTGGTTATATGTTATTCTGGCTTTTGACTGATTTCTTTCTCTCCCCTCCAAAGACTGGCCTTTTGTTCTTACTGGGCTGGGGGACGCGCTGAGTGAGCAGGAGCTCAATGGGTTGGATGTAAATGCTGCTGGGTTCCATGGCTTTGCCAAGGGTGACCGCTAGGTGGTGCTGTTACTCGACAGAAGGAAACCTTCACGAACGCTCCCCTTGACCTACCAAATGGCATCTCAGATCACCTTTAGAGTGGTCCCATAAACTCTCCACATTCCAATCTCAAACTCAAAACCAGCTAGATCCAGAGAATACTGGGTTCAACTAAACCAGAATAAATCATGAGAAAAACTTCAACCTGGACCTGTAGAGACCCACTACTGCCTATTAGGTGAGTCATTGGGTGGTGTTTTTCTAGAACTCTCTACTGACCTCTGAGCTGATGGCTGAGTTTTGCTTACACTTCGTGATTGCAGCAGTGTGTTTCCTGAAGCCCTCTTCCAGGCTGGGGAGGTGTTTTGGCAGCAGTTAAACTTCCTCATTTGTTCCAAGAGTGTTGCTTTCTGGGTAGGCAAGATGCTGAGGCTAGCAGCCGGCTGTATTTCTTGCTCTTCCGGGTTTGTGTGAGCTGGTTTTTCCCCAGGGAGTCCCCACAGGCCTGGCCCGTGTGGGTGGCACAGTTCAAATAGCCTCATTTCCAGCGGCGTCTGCTGCTGTCACTTGAGCTCCTTCCTGCCTCCACGCCCACTTGATGAACTCTGGAAAAGCTGAGTGTGTTCAGCCTTTCTCTGAAAGTTTACCTCCGAGGACATGTGCAGGGGAATATTAGACCACTGGAGATGGTCTGGTGACTGAGCAGTGGTTCTGGGGGACACGAGAAGCAGAGTAGATGTGTCGTGCTTGAAGTTGAGGCCAGTGGGTCAGGGAGAAGGGTTGTCAGTGTTGGGGAGATCTGTTCTCTCATTACCTGGGCAGCACTAAGGCTGACAAATTTGCCGTTTGGGGGCAGGAAGAACTAAAGCACCTTATTGCCCCTTGGGGCTTAAGCTGGTTTGACCTGCCAAAGTCCTAGATCCATCCATTCCCTTCCCTGGCTGTCTCTCCTGCATCTGGCTGGTTCATGACCCAGGGGCCACCTCAACAGGCTGAAGATGAGAGATGGTCCTAATGTTGGCTGGCGTCCTGCACACGAATAGTGGCTCCTCCGATTTGAACTAAGAGGAAGGAGGCCGTCTGTAGCTTCGGGCCTACAAGTCCTGCTCTCTTTGCTTCCTGTGCTCACTCGGGACAAAGGCTGGGCCCCACTGGAGCCCTCTGCTCACTGGCAGTGTGCTTTCTACGCCCAGTGCCCGCCCTGGGGCGGGGCCAGCCCATCCTGCCCCTGATAAGGCCACTAGGGCTGCCCTCTGAAGAAGCTCAGAAAGAAAGCAGAGGCGAGGAAGCAGTCAAGGTCTGCAGGTGTGTAGCCTGAGGCCAGGAGTGGCTGGCACTTCCCACCACCCGCAGCCCCAGTCCTTGGCAGGCCAGGTAAGCTCCAGCCATTGCTCCAGTCAGGACCCTTCTCTCCCCTGCCCCCAGGGCCTCTGCCCAGCCTCTTGCCCGGTCACACGGCAGCTGGCACTTTCCACTGCTGAAAGGCTCCAGGCAGCGGTTCTCGGGTCTTAGCTGGGTTTGCCCTTCCAGTGAGGGTCTGCGGCTGAGGTGAGCAAGAAGCCTGGGGTGGGACCCAGCCCTGCACTCAGCAGGGTGCTCTTGAATGAGCCTCTTACCTTGCCTTAGTCTTCCTGTCTGTACACTGGGAGTAGGCTAAAAACGTGTCTTATTGGGTTTTTGCTGTTTGCTTTTATGCCTGAATATGGATCTTTCCAGAACCTCAATATGAACTTGAAACTGAAGTGAATTTCACAATAAAACAAAGAAGATGGATCCTAATGTCAGGGAAGAACAACCCTTCGCTTCCATTTTTCAGTAGTATCTTCTCAGACAGACTTTGCTCTTCACTCCGTAATGCTGTAGTATGTGTTTGAGGACAAAAGGAAGTGGAAACCAGTAGGGTAGGGAGTCTGAAGGTTCTAGGAAAGGAAGTAAGTGTAGAGCCAGTTTGATGAAAGAACAAGCCTTCTTATACTTCCTTTTCTTTTCTTTTTTTTTTTTTTTTTTTTTTTTGGTATGGGGTATCGAGCTCAGGACCTGAACTTTTGAGACAGGTGTGGCACCACTGAACTAAATCCCTGGCCCCTGCGCCCCGAATCTTGCCGCTGCCTGTGCATGCTGGCCTCTGTCCTGCTCCTTTCCTGCCACTTGCTGCTGCCTGGGGCACCATGGGGCTTGCCCACCTCACCTCCCTCACCCTCTCAGCAGAAGCAGCTGCAGCCATGGCAGGGATGAAGACGGCCACCGGGGACTACATCGACTCATCCTGGGAGCTACGGGTGTTTGTGGGTGAGGAGGACCCGGAGGCCGAGTCGGTCACCCTCCGAGTCACCGGGGAGTCACACATTGGCGGTGTGCTCCTGAAGATCGTGGAGGAGATCAGTGAGTGCCCGGCTGCCCCCACTTCCCCAGCTTGGCACCCGGGCGGCTGCCACAGTGTTCCCCGGTACTTCCGGACCACCCCTGCTGCACAGCTCGCGATAACTGTGTCACAGTGACTCAGACACTCTTAATCATTTAGTTCCAAAAAAGACATTTCCCCAGTCTCTCGTACCCCTCCCCCCCCACTCCAGCTGCTTCTGCCGAGCCGGATCAGGCAGATGGCCACTCACCCACTTTTCATTTTGGAATGAGGAGGCAGTGCTGGAGATTGAACCCAGAGTCTTACACCGAGCTACATCCCTATCCCTTTTCTTTATTTTTTGAAGGCCAGGGATTAACTCAGTGGTGCTGCACCTGCCTGGCAAGCCCAAAGTCCTGAGTTTGATCTCTGGTACCAGAAAAAAAAAGATTCATTTTTGATACTGGGTTTCACTAAATTGCTAAATTTCCCAAGCTGGGCTCAAACTCTATCCTCCTGCCTCAGCCCCGCAGAGTGCTAGAATCACAGATGTGCACTACCACACCCAGCCTCCATTTACCCACTGCTAAGGACAGAAGGGGAGGGTTTGCCTGGGCAGAGGCCAAGGTCACGTTTGTTCCTGAGGTCTGAGAGAGGGCTAGGGGCTCCTGGTGACCTGGGGCCTGCTCCGCACTTCCTCCTGGGTGAAGCCCTCAGGAGGCTGGTGACAGGCCCCATCTGGGGGGGATGGCCCTGCCCCCACAGGAAGTTGCAGCAGAGCAGACTGCGGTCTCTGTCATGGCAGCGAGACACGGGGCCAGGAACGTGAGGACTTCTCATCATCCTGCCCTGCCTGATGGAGGTTGACCTTCCTGGGAAGGCAGCAGGAGCACTCCAATAGCCAGGGCCAGAGGGCAGGCCACAGGAATCTGGTCAGGAGCATAGGGACTGGGCCTCCTTGGGCAGACTTCCTCAGACCCAGCCAGCCGCCATGTGCAGCCCAGCACGGGTGTCAGTGAGACTCCAGGGTAGCACAGCCCCAGAGCCCAAGCAGGGAGGGAGCCTCCAGAGGCAGGGCCCAAAGAGGCTGTGAAAGCAGAAGTGGGGAGCAGAGTCTCCCTGGGGAGACTGGGTATCAGACCAAGTCTCGGCAGGCCTGGGTTAAGGCAAGACATGAGGGGCCTGAGAACCAGGTTGTCCACAAGGCACATCATGTCCACAAGGTACTCCACTGATGGACCCGGGCAAGTCCCTCCAGCTCACTGACCCTGCAGTGAGGATATTGTCCCCATCCACCCCGGTCCTAGTCCTTCCTAAGTGCGTCCAACGTGGGCTGTCTCCTGGCACATGACTGGCTGGTAAAGCTGGCCCCTTCCTGCCTGGCCCAGTAGTCTATGCCAGCTGTCACAGGAAAGCCACCATGGGGACCTGGAGGCCTGGATTAGGGCACTTCCCCGGAGAGGCCACTTGAGTCCTGAGAGGTGGTGACAGTAACGAGAAGCTGGGTAGAAATGCTGTGGGGGTGAGGGGTTCTCTGGGTTAGGGCTGCTGGACATAACCAGACACTGGCCCCCGGGGTCCCCTGGCAGCGCCTGCAGGCCTTGAGTTCTCAACAGGAGCTTAGACCTCATCTTGAATGCACCCAGTGTTTGCAGCAGGACAGGCCATGCCACAGTGGATTGCTTTTGGAGGGAGGGTGGGATAGTGTCTCACTATGTAGTTCAGAATGGTCTTTTTTTTTTTGGTACCAGGGATCAAACACAGGACCTTGCACTTGCAAGGCAGGCAGCAGAACCACTGAGCTAAATTCCTGGCCCCAGGCTGGTCTTGAACTCACTATGTAGCCCAGGCTGGTCTTGAACTCATAGTGATTCTCCTGCCTCAGCCTCCCAAATGTTGAGATGATAGGGATATTCCACCAGTACAGCTGCAGTGGACCTTTGGGCTGAGTTCTTGGGCAGCCAGTGGGGGCAGAGTGGAGGCAGGGAGGCCCCGAGCAGGCCATCTGAGTTGTCCTGCAGAGAGGGGACAAGGCTTCCAAAGGTCAGAGTGGATGGAGAGAAGGGCGATTTAGGAGGTGAGGTTGACGCTGATTCGAGGTGAAAAGCATGGTACTTGGGACCATGGAGCACTCTTTGTTAGCTCCCAGACTGACGTGGAGGGGCTTCCCGGGGAGGAGGGTTGCCTCTGTCCAGAACAGTCTGAGCGGAGCACTTCAAAGACTGGGACTAGGAGCCACCGTGGCTATCGACCCAGTGCTGGGCATGTGGCCGGGTGAGCAGAGGTGTCAGGAATATAGGAAGCTGGAGCCTGACCTAGCCTGTATCATGTGGGTCTGCCTGGAGCAGAGGTCGGTGCTGTGGGTGCTCCAGGAAGAGGGTCCCTGACTGTACCCAGGCAGAGACCGGAAGGGCCAGGTCAGAAGAGCAGTCTGAAGAGGACAGGGCCAAGGCAGAGTCCAGAGAGGAAGAGAGGAGGCAGCCCAGAGTGAGGGCACAAGAGGGAAGGGGTACACCTGGGGAGAAGTGGCCAGATACAGAAAGGTTTCTCTCAGGTTGGGCCACACAGGGACAGTCGGGAGGGTAGAGGAGTGAGCGGGTATGGAGATCTAGAAAACCCCCAAGGAGGGCCAGGCAGAACCCCAAAAAGATGGGCTCTGCACACCCAGAAGGACAGCACACCCATCATGCTTTGCTTCTAAGCTCATCTCCTGCCACCTGCAGAGAGGACGCAAGTTCTGTGTCATCGATTGCTGTGTCCAATTCCCAGGTGGACGATTGAGTGATGGATTCATATTTTCAACTGAATGCTTACTTATGTGTGGTTGTGTGTACTTACATATGTCACTGACACGTGGCACTTAGCAGGTAGCAGGCATGGGTCAGTGTCCGTGAGTTAGGATGATTGTTACATGTTACAAACAGGAAAATTGAAGCCCAGCCAGGAATGGTGGTGCATACCTGTAATTCTAGCACGGCGGAAGGCTGAGGCAGGAGGATTGCAGTGTGTTTGCGGCTGGCCTAAACTATATAATGAGACCCTATGTCTGAATAGAAAGGCTCGGGATGTAGCTCATTGTGAAGGTCCTTAGTTCAATTCCAGTGCTAGAAATAAGAAAGGCAGAGAGGAAGGGAAGAAGGAAGGAAGAAAAAGGAAGAGTGGGAAGAGGCCCATAGAGGTTAAGCACTTTGTCCAAGGTTTCACAGGGAGTCACAGTAAATGTTTAGAGTGCTTGCTGGACAAACCCCAGGCCCCAAAGCTGTACAGAAGAAGTATAGTATCTGCCTCCTAAAGTGCCAATTGTATTCAGGGAGCCCACTGGGCTGGATGAGGTGCATGAGGTGGGGTCACCAAGCTTGGGGCATTCAGATTCTGGGTTTGGAGCCAAGCATGGTGGCATGGGCCTGTAATCTCAAGATGTGCGAGGCTGAGGCAGGAGGATCACTGAGTTTGAGGCCAACCTGGGCTACAAAGTAAGACCCTCACAAACAGATTCTGGATTGGGGACCCCCAGGAAGTGATATAATGACTGTAGCTAAGGGCCAATCCCTTGTCCTCTTGGAGGCCACCCCTCACACCTGGCGTGGGGACCTGGACAGGGCGGACCAAGATCCAGTGTACACTGTGGCCCCACCCCCAGATCGCAAGCAGGACTGGTCGGACCACGCCATTTGGTGGGAGCAGAAGAGGCAGTGGCTGCTGCAGACACACTGGACGCTGGACAAGTATGGGATCCTGGCTGATGCCCGCCTCTTCTTCGGGCCGCAGCACCGGCCAGTCACCCTGCGGCTGCCCAACCGCCGTGCACTGTGCCTGCGTGCCAGCTTTTCCAAGCCCCTCTTCAAGGCCGTGGCCGACATCTGCCGCCTCCTCAGTGAGTAACCCACCTGCAAGGCCTCTGCAAGGGGCAGGTCCCCTCCCTCCCCGTCCCTGCCCCTGCCCCCAAGTGCTCAGCAGCAAGGTGGGAGGTCACAGCGGGAGCTCCCCGCAGGTATCCGGCACCCTGAGGAGCTGTCTCTGCTGCGGGCTCCTGTGAAGAAGGAGAAGAAGAAGAAAGAGAAGGAGCCAGAGGAAGAGGTGTTCGACCTGACCAAGGTCGTCCTGGCTGGCG